GTTCTCTGCTCCCCACCCACCACCTCCCGCCCTCCAGGAGCCCACCTTGCCCAGACACCCCCACCCAGGCCTCCCAGGCACCCCCAGCCACACTGGCCCTGCCTGGGGCCCAGGCTGGCTCAGCACCCCCTTTCTCAGGACTCAAACTCCATCCTCCCTCGCGCTCACCTCCCCCTCTGTCTCCAGCCCCCGCCCCCTCTGTTCCTCCCTCCCACCCCCTTCTTCACCCCTCTGCCCCTGCCAGGCCACAGGCACTGCCGGCCACGCAAGCCCTCCGCAGGCCTCCCTGGCTCTCAGCGGCTGGCTGTCTTGGCCAGTCCCACGCATGCCAAGTCTGCCCGGCCTCTGGCTGGAACGCCTTCCCGTCAACACCAACCCCCCCCCAACCCCACCCCTCCCCTTTTCATCCCAGTGAATCCCTGTCATCCTGCAGAATTCAGCTCAGGTAACAGGCTGCCAGACTGCCTGACCCCCAGGGCGGAGTCTCTGCTCCCCGGCCCCTCCTATCCCCCTCCCCCACTCCCGGTGTCCCTCCCATCAGGTGTGCCAGCTCAGGGGCGCTCAGCAAGGACCCCTCCTCATGACCATGAAGCCCAGCCCTGGCAGCTCGGGGGCTGATACGCAGAAGGTGCTCAAGAAGCGCCTGTGACACGCATGAACGAGGGCACATGGGGCAGACCCAGCCTCGCCTGCCACATGGGTGCCGAGGGCCACTCACCCCACAGACCCACGGGTGAGGGAAGGGGGTGCGGTCTAAAGGGGTGCTGGCTGTGGGGGCGCATGTCTCCTGATGGCAACAAGAAAATGCAGGATGTTTTACCAAACTTCCATATTTTAGAGACACCACACCCACTCGGCCACCCTGCAGCATTAGCTCAAAGCGTCTGGTTGCCGCCTCTGGGGGAGAATCCTGTGGGAGCAACTGGGCCGAAGCCCCATGAGGGATGCAAAGTCCAAACTGGGGTGGTGGCTACACTTTCCAAAGCCCTCTCTCCAAAGTCCCGGGAAACGCAGGGCAGTGAGCGGGTCACCACGATGAGCCCTTATGCCCTCGCCCATGACCTTGACCGTGTGCAGCCAGGGCCTGGCCCTCAGCCGCTCTGAAAGGCCACAGGCCTCCATCTCCTGGCTGCACGCGCCCTCCCCAGCAGACTTTTCTAGACCATGTGGCTCTGCCTGGACTACAGCTGGTGACATCCTCTCTGTCTGCTCCAACCATGAACTTGAAGGAGGGGCAGGGTAGGGAGTTCAAGGGTCAAGAGGTGTTAGCACCACCTCGGGCCTTGCGGGACCAACAGGTTCAGCCCACTCGCCTCCTCTGGAGAGTTAGATCAAGGGCCCCACCCCACCGCTGTGACAGCAGGCGGCCCGGCCACCCCCTCGGTGTCTGGCCAGAAGCAATCAGATGTGAGCTCTGCGTGTGGCCACAGAGCGACTGGCAAGAGCTGCCTGGCACCAGTCGTGTCCCCAGGCACGTGTGCCCCCGCCCCCTTCAGGAGCTGCAGATGGAGAATGAAGGCCGCAGGAGTGGCTGGGAGCCTCAGGCGTGGAGGTCCCTCCTGTCTATGCAAAGGAAAGCTCAGGGGCAGGGGCATGAGGCTGAGCCCCAGGGGCTTCAGCCTGCGCAGTGCAGGGGGCCCTGAGTGCCCGGGAGCTGCCTCAGCTGCTCCAGCTTAGCCTGGGTTCAAGACTCTCCCCAACCCCCTCCAGTGTGCATCTGAGAGAACTGGAGTCTGCAGCTGGCCCCCTCCCCAGCCTGAGCTGCCCCATCATTCTCCCTGGGCACCGGGACTAGGGAGCCGAGTCCCTCCGCACCTGCACCTCCTACGTAATTCCTGCCTCTGGTGGTCAGATGTTGTATGATGGCCGGAACCTTCGAAAAAAATTTTTTTTTAGAAAAACAACAGAGGATTATAGCGCTAAAGGGTATACGCTGAGCATTAATGTCATCAACAAAATTGCCCCCGGAACACTGAAGTCACTTAATGTACTCAATTCCTTCCGAAGCACGCGTGGCAGAGAGCCGTTGTGCTGATTAGCAATAATTACAACCTGCTCGTTAAGGACAGCCCCCGAGGGCTTCCACAAAGGAACACTCAAGGCGGAGACGCAGTTACTCTGTGTACTAGAAAATAATGAAGCTCCCTTTCTTTTAAAAATTATCTAATTTAGGCTTTTCACTGAATGACACTGTGCTCTGCACGACTCTGAATGGAAGAGGTTTTGCTCAATTTAAATAGAAGCTTCTCTCAAAGGCCAAGAGCAGCCTTGCTCCGAGGCGACGTGCCGGCCGCCTGCCAAGCGGCCTGAGGAGAGAGGTGCAGGGAAGAGTCTGGATCTGAAACTCGTCCCCGAAAGTCTCTGCTGTTCTTCAACATTTTGGTTTCAACTGTTTTGCCATCTCATCTCTAGCTGCTGGCTCCCCTAAAGATTCTTGTGACTCATCTGGGCATTTGTGGGGAGAAGACACTAGAATTTACTGAGAACAACCTCCCATCCTTGAGAAACAAATGAATATGAACAAATGTGGGGGTGGGAGCTCGGTGGGGTTCAAGGACGCAGTGGGGTGAAGGTCCTATCTGCCATTTTCATTAAATCCCTTCAGTTACAAGAAACACCCAGGCCAGCTCAGGATGGCTGCAGGGGGCTAGAGGCCGGGGGTGATGGGGAGAGGCGCAGGGGACTGTGGGTAAGAGGGTGTCCCGCCTCCTGACAGGAGCTGGGGTGCATGAGTGCATGCACTGTCAAAACTCAACAAATGGAGATTTGTGCATTTCATTCTTTGTAAACATTACATCAAAATAAAACCTGTAAGAACAACAAAGAAGACGGTAGAGAAAGAGACGGCATGGCCAGGGGAGGGCACCCCAACATCTACAGGCAGGGCGAGGAGAAGGCGGTGAAGGGCAGGAGGGTCTGCAATCATGGACTGTCCCAGAAGCCACAAGGCAAGTGTTTCTGGCATGGAGAGAAATCAAGCTGATCGGGGGCCGAGCAGAGGGATGAGGTGAGCACTGCGGAGCGGTGGGGACTCCCCGGTGACCTGGAGGGGCAGTTTCAGAGGGGTGGTGTCACAAGAACCCCTCTGGAGTGGGGGGTGAGGAAAACAGGGCAGCAGGGACGTGTGATTGCTCAACGCAGACTACTCCTTCAAGGGGTGTGCTGTGAAGGGCGGTGGAGACACGGGCAGTCCCGAGAGGGAAATGTGGGGCCACCGTTCTCAGGGGAGGCCGTCCGGAGCACCCCTGCATGCCAAGGGGCACGGCCCCCAGAGAAAAGGCACCACAGAGACAGCACCGCAGGAACGGAGGCCTGGGGACGTCTGGAGACAGGCTTCACAGGCTTCAGGAGCAGGTGGCAGAGAAGCCGGCGGCTGGTGGCGGGGGAACCAGGCGGCTGCGTCGCCAGGCCCACCCGGCGCAGGAAGAGAGGGCACCCCCACCTGGTTGTTTCCAGGATGTAGGGGGCCGGTGATCAGAGAGAAAACGGAGGAGGATCTGGGCAAGATGAAGGTGGACGCGGCTATCTCGGGGTGGGAGAGCAGCAGGCGGAGGCGGGTCCTGGACCCCTCTGAGAAAGAGCTCGGCAGCTTCTGCTCGGCGGCACACGGCAGGTTTGCTAAGAGGAGCTTGTGCAGACACGCGTGGGAAGGGTAAGCCGCATTTTAAGTTTCTGCTCTAAGCGTCCATCGCAGCCGCAGAGTGAAGGAGCAGAGAGGCGGGATTCACGCCCAGGCTGCCCACAAGTGCTGCCCACTCCCTGCTCTTTCTGCTCAGCCAAGTCCGCAACCTGGGAGCAGAAGCGCTTCCACAGGCAGGTCGGCTCGGCCCACAAACGTGCAGCTGCCGTGGGGGCCTGTCTTTGTCACGATGGACACTCCAGGAGAGCCCCTCCTGGTGCCTCCCTGCAGGGGCCCGCGATGTCATTCCAGGCCCCACTGTCCTGTGTGACCACCAGCCCCTTGCCTGCCTCCCTAACTCTACGACCCCCCAAGCCCTTGTGCAGAGTGCAGAAAGCTCCCTGGGAAATGCACGCACGCCTGCACTAGCAAGCCCAGCACCAACCCCAGGGCCCCTCCGGGTCTGCTGTGCCCCCCCCACCACCCACCCCCGCAGCTGGGCCGCTGCTGGCGAGAGCCTCTGCCATTCCGGCCTCCACGTCCCACACTTCCGTGCCGCTGCCCGGGCTGGAACTCTCCTCTGGCTCACTCAACACCCCTGGCATGCCTCTGGAGCCCCTGCCCAGAATAGTTTTCCTTCTCTGCCTCATCTCCAGACACCCCGCCACCTCTGTTCCCGACACTCGCTCCGGGAGTGCGAGCTGTCGCGGTGCAATCCTGGTCACTGCTTCTCTCATCCCGTCACATCTCGGCAAAGCGTCCGCAGACTCAGTGGGTGCTCACAGCTGGTGGTGAGGGCCGCAGGAGAGCAGCTCACGTTCGGGACGGAAGGCGAGGAGCTGACTGCACTGGGGAAAGGGGTGGCGAGCATCTCTCCGTACATTTCTGGATGGTCACAGGGCACAGCATCCAGCTTGAACCCATTTCAAAGCCACCTTCAAGGTCAGAGGCTGCTAACAAGCTGCCTGCGTACATGGTGCACACACACGTTAACACGTAAGAGCCCACCGGCCCTGGTGGGACAGGCTGTGAACGGCGGCAGGTGTGGGCAGGAAAGATGTGTGGCTCGCCATCAGGAACCCCAGAGCTTGCCAGCCCCACCACCCCACCACCCAGGCCCACACCTGGCCTACCCAGACGGTGCGCTGGGAGCGCGCCTCCCCACGAGCCCGCGCCTGTGCCCAGCCTGCAGCCGCGACAACACGGGCCAAAGCCCCAGGGAGGAAGGCATCCTGGCAGTGAAGGGCCGCTGCTGTCTTCCCTGCCAGCACCCACCGCTTTGTTCTCCCAAGAGCAGCTGAGGGCCCACGGCCTCCAGGCCCTGACAGGGCCTCCGGGAAACAGGCTCTGGACAGCGTTCGTCAGACGAGCACAAAGGTAGTCATCGACCAGGACGCACACGAGTAAGAAAATACCAAGGCTTTACTTCTTTCTTACAAAGACAGCCCTGCTTGTCGGCTAAGTGACAAGGATGTGCACAGCTCTCACGAAGAAACAGGTTACCTGCCGCAGGCTGCACACCTTAATGCCAGAGAAGGGACACGAAGGACAGAAGTGTAATGCTTTCATCTTCGTAGCAATAAAAGGGAAAATAAAACAGAAACTAAGTGGACCCCATTAATGCCTGGCACGCCCACAGGCAAGAGGCGAGCGGCCTTGAGGCCGGCCAGGCGCTGGACTGTCCGCAAGCACATGCTCCGTCAGGCCAAGCCCCCACGCTCCCTGGGCTGCCCCCACCGGTCGGGGCTCACGGTCCACACCCCAACAGAGCGGGCAGTCAGGAGCTTCCGCTTCAGAGCAACGTCGTGGAAGCCCAGGAGCTGGCTTGGGAGGCACCTACGTGCAGCAGTGCCGCATGTGGAAGTTGACGACGTACTCGGCGTTAGTCCTCTGCACGGATATGGCGAAAGGCTCGAAGGGGTGGAAGGTGAAGGCAACGAGGCGGCGCACGGTGTGGTTGATGGGGCGGCCCAGCAAGCCCGCCTGGATCTCAAACTTGAGCAGACCTGAGTCCCGGGCATAGAACCTAGACAGACGAGAGGGGGGGTTTAGCTCTTTGCTACCACTCAGAAATCCGCACAGCAGGGTGACGTGGAAGCTCACGCCCTGGCCTCCCCAGGAAAACCTCCTCACACAGGCCCAGGATACTGCCCGCAAGCTCACCTGCAACGGGGAGCGGACTCTGCTGTCCCTGGTCGCTCATTATTTCTCCTTCCTGAGCTGACCCATCCTTATGGCCTCAACTACAGCCTAGCCTGCCCCCAGAGCCACCCGCCCTCAGACTGTCTAGGGCTAGAAATGAAATACAAGCCACGTGTGTCATTTGAAACTTTCAGGAGCCACATTAAAAAGCTAAAAGAAAAAAGTGAAATTAATTTTACTGACGGATTTTATTTAACCCATACTGGTGCCCTCCTCATCATCACTACAACCGACATCGAGAACCATGTATTTCGGGTCTTTTGGCACTGAGCCTGTGAAGCCTGACGCAGCTGCCATGGGAACACATCTTAAGGGGCGGCTCCCACTCGGGCACTTGGCGGCCTCATGAGGCGGCAGCTGCCACGAGCGCACGTCCACCGCAAAGGAGTTCGGGAACTGGCGTTCCTCTTCAACTGCCCTAACACCCTTCACTTCCCACTTTAAATTATAAATAAAATTGCCAGATAAGACCCCTCAGTCAGGGGCAGTGGCACCCCAAGATCTGACACTGAGGGGTGGCAGGGAAGGCAGGGAGCGAGGATGGATGACATCAGCAGAGGGCCATCCACCCCGCGCATGCAACAACACACTCTCCTCCCATCGTCCCCAGTGTGCGGCCTTGTCCTGCAAGGGAGCAGCGTGAGCATCCACTGCTACCTACCAGTTTCCAGGAAACACGCACACATGAGAGAATTGCACCTACTCCTCCTGGGTGTGAAGGGCCAAGAGAGGCTTGGGGAAACCACAGCACAGAGAACCTGGCTCCAGCCATGGCTTCTTTGCAAAGAAAATAAAGGGAAGCAGAACTTCCAGAACAAGGAGGCTTAAGGCAACAGTGACCAAAGCGGCACGCATACCTCATTACGTCTGACAGGACCAAGAGAACCACATAAACCAGACGTCTCATGGCACGAGGAAACTTCCTCAAGCTGGAGCAATGGTGCTTGGCTATATTTTCAAGTCCTTACCTTTCAGAAATCCACACGAAATATCCCTGGGTAAGGTGCTCTGACACCTGCTTCAGACTAGTCAGGGTGGCAGAAAGAGACGGTCACTCCCTAGGGGCAGACGCTGCAGGAGCAGGTGACGGGCACACGGAGCTCGGTACACACTTTATATGCTCAAAACTTTCCACAAACACAAGCAATTTTTTTAACTGGCTTCAGACCTTGATTAAATTTCCCAAAAGAAGTAACAGGGTGACCAGCTGCACAGAACGCCCATCACAGAGGCCAGGAAGCTGCATCACAAAGCACCAGCTGCACCGTTTCTAGGTGGAAAAGCCCTTCCAGGCTCCACCACGGGGCTCCAGGGCCTCACCCCTTCGACATGACCCCACTAGCGACACTGGTGCAGTTCCTGGGCCCAATACGGAGTCCAGCACGTGCAGGGGGAGATGGATGTGTCTGAAAACCTGCACACAGGTGCTGCCCGGGAGGTGAGTTTCCCGGTTTCAGTGATAACAAGTCCCTGTGGCAAAGTTCCTCCATGTGGAAGGCCCCAGTCTCTCCATACCTGCTCCCTCTGGCCTGCTCCCTCTGGCCCTGCTCACTTTTCCACCAGGCCACGTGGGGGCTAACATGGTGTGAACCAGATAAAACGTAAAAGGCTCCACTATCACCACCACTGTGATGTGGCACAAGAGAATGGAGAATCGTGGATTCCCTCCCGGCCACACTACAAAGGGGGACATGAACTCTAACTCAGGGGTTCTGATGAGCGAAGAGTAGAACTTGCTAACTGAAGAATTAGTGCCTAGGGCCTCCCTGGTGGCTCAAGGGGTTAAGACACAGCCTATGGGGCTGACCACAGCCACTGCAGCAAGAATTCCATCCCCAGCTAGCCAGGGAGCAACCCACATGGCGCAGCAGACCTCTCCTGTCTCGCCCGCTGCTCCCCTCAGCAGTGTATTTCAGTCAGTCTGCCTATTCTGCTCCCCACTCTGTCGCTGGTGGGTCCTCTTACCCCCCCCCACATCTCTGACCTGTACCCCAGCTCTTAATATGCATAAATAAAAATAAATGTTAAAAAAAAAAGTTTGTGCCTAATGACAGTGCACTCGGCTCATTCTCGAGACAGCCTGCCCTTTCACGTCACCCCACGGGGCAGGCAGCACCAATAGAGAAAGGACATCCCCGGAGGGGCCACGTACCTGATGGGGTGATCTCCGCACGTCTTGGGCCGCTCCATGACCGACACCCACTTGTCATCGTAGCTGAAGAGAGACAGGTCGAGGTAGGGGCTGCCGCTGTAGGACTGGGCGCTGATGGGCAGCTGGCCCAGCAGGCGGCGCACGGCCTCCGTGTGCCCTCCGTACTTGGCATTCACAATAGTGTCTTTAAACCTGGAGGAAGCACCAGCGAGGAGGCTCCGTGAGCAGGCACGTGCCGCCTGGCCTTGACACTGACAAACATGACTGAAAATGACTCAGTCTGTAAACAGAAACCGAGACACTGAATGAAGTCAGACCCCTCAGGCATCACAACTCTGGCTCAAGCGTAGAAAACACAAAGGAGGAGGAACGTGAAGTTATTTGAGAAAAGTTAACGAAGACTCTCTGAGCAAGTTAGAATGAGTCTACTCGCGACAACCACGTCTCCGCACACTTACTTTCCCCAGATAAAGGCGTGAGCCGGCACCAGGAGGGGGGCACAGAGGGCGGGGCACTGCCCCCAGGACTGGCCTGACTCTGCACGGGGCAGCAGCAGCCGCTCTCACAAAGCTCCTCGCGTTGTTCCTCGCGTTGTTCCTCGCGTTGTTCAAACAAAGTTGGCCGCGCCCCCAGAGCAGCAGGGACAGCGGCAGGGGTGTGTGTGCCTCGCCTCCAACAAGAACACAGGGAAGTGGGTCTCTCCCCAGCTGTGAGAAGCCTGTATGGCCCCGGGACCAATGTTTCTATTCTTCTGGAACGTGTCCTAAGAAGCAACCCCACGTGCAGAGACGCCTGTGCTGTCACAACAATGAGAAACTGGAGGGGAATGAAAGACCCACTTGATGGGAAGCTGTGATTCTCAAAGATTCTGTCGTAGCAGGAGCCACGTGAGTCATGACGGGAAACAGGAGACATGTGCGCCTTCTGGCCCACAGCTCGAGCTCTCGCACATGCACGCAAGTGCACGCGGCGTTTACGCCTTGAACACAAGCCAGGCGGCCAGCTTGACTCCAGGGTGTTCGCAGCTGTCTTTGTGTGATGATGTTTTGAATTTTTTCTTTCACATCCCCATAGTTGCTTAGAACGTGACCTATCGGTCTGTGTTCTTAAAAATCTCCTGTCAAAGCACATCATGTGGTTTAACCATCAAGGAAAAAATACATTTTTTTAGTCCAGAAAGAAAAAAAAAAAATCTCATCCCTGAAAGTAATAACAAAAACTAAAGAAAGAAAAATCTCACATGTTCCCAACCCTGAGAGGAACAAATGCTGAGCCAGGCTCTGAGCTCCGCTCCACTGGCGTGCTGGGGCCGCTGGAGCAGGCCTCGGGGCTGCACGCCCCTCCATGCCCCCTCCCAACTGGCTTTCAGCGCCTCGGTGGGAGCCAGGAAAGCAGCCCTCAGGCAGCAGCCCTGACTTCTCCCTTCCCTTCAGCTGGGGTCGGGGGGATGGGCTCTGTTTTCTACACTTCGGGAGCAGGGGCCTATACTGCAGCTACTGACCTGCACGGCGCCCCTGCCCCAGCACCCCCTGGCTTCCAAAGGCAGCAAGATGGGGCTGGTCCATGCTCTGTGAGGCTCTAACCCAAAGACCTGACCAACCGTTGGAGGGAGCAGAGCCCCTCCCCTCACCACCCAGGCCCCCCACACTCTACATACTCAAGACTAAAGCAGTGGCTGGATTTTACTTACTAGGTCACTGCCATCCTCCCCCCCAGGCATCTCTCAACACAGCACCGGGCTAGTCCTGCTAAAATGTGAGACTCGTCCCTCTGCTGCTCACACCTGCAATCTCATCTACAAGCAAAGCCAAGGCCTCAGAACAAACTCATCAGGGCCTGGCTCTGCGCCACTCAAACCACACCCTCTGGCTTGCTCCAGCCTGACCCATGGCCTCCCTAGTGTTCCTCCCGTGCACCAGGCCCACCTCAGGGCCTTCAGGTCTGCTATTCCCTTGGCTGGGTAGAGGCTCCCCCGATATCCACATGGCTTGCCCCGTGACCTCCTTCAAAAGTTGTGTTCAAGTATCAGCTTCTCCATCAGACCACTGCCGACTACCCACTGGACAACCTCATCTGAATACACTCAAACCCAGATGCTGGGGTGACTTTATGACTCCCTTGGCATCATTTCTCTTGGGAACCTGCACCCTCCTGCCTCCACCTGGCCTGCTGGTCTGTCAGCCTGGAACTTCCCTTGACCATCAGTCATCCAGGACTCTTGAGGCTTCTCTCCAGAGTCAGACTCAATTTCATGTACCATTCTTGTGGTCTGCTTATAAAATTCTTCTTTCAAAGGGTTCTTTAGAAAGGTACATAAGGGGTAACTTTTTGAAACCATGTACGCCTGAAGTGTCTACGCTCCACTCATGGAATTCTCAATAAAAATCACTATTTTCAGAGAATTCTGAGTGCATGCTTTCAAGAGCTTCGACATTCAGTGTTGTTTCTAAGTCTGCCACTATCCTGATGGCTGACTCCTCTGTGTGTGAAACAAGTGGTGTCCTCTTAGACATTCTGACAACTTCTCGTCGTCACCAACGCCCCAGCTCCACAGTGCTGTGCTCGGCCTGGGTCTCCTTCGCTGACCGCACTGGCACTTGGCCAGCCCAGCAATGCGCTGCTCAAGGTGTGATGATTATTTCTCCAAGAGAAAAGAGCTATGAGTTGCAGTGCTTGCCAATCTTTGTGGCATAAATCCTCCTGCTCTGGTCCATTTCAAAGTACTAGTGCGTCAGTGTCGAGAGAGCTTTTATCCATACATACAAAGCGGATGCAAATAACCTCAAGGGCATGAGAGTGAAAATAATTAGGAAATCATTACCTGTTAATAATGGCCGTGTTTAACAATCAGCATGCAACAATTCAATAACTTTTGCCAAACCTGGCGGTTGAACAACTGGCTGTCGTGAGCCGGCACAAGCAGCTCTAGCACCCACTGCCTGGTCCTGCCAGTCTGGAAATGCATGAATTCTCCAGCCTTGGGCCACGCCCAGCATTATGGCTTCCCCTTCCTCTCCTCTCCTCTGCTGCTCCTTCTGGACTAGACCTCCTGGGCCAATCCTGTGTATTTTTTCATCATTTCTCCCCCATTTTCTCCCATGTATCTTTTTACTCTACTTCCTTGGAGAGCTCTTCAACTAACGCTACAAATGTTGATTTTCTAAAGCATCTTGCTGTTTTAGGAATGTTCCTGATTTTATAACTTTAATTACTCCAGAATATACAATGATGTTTCTTTACTCCATTCATTTTATTTTGGTCTCTATCTATTAAGATAAAGGCTTTTCTTACGTGACCTGTGATCTCTGCCATTCTTTTTTTCCTTAACATTTACTCTAACCTTTAATAAATTCACATTCATTTATTTTTACTTCACCAAAAGATTACCAGAGACTGTAAAACTGAATAATTAGAGCTGTGTGCATGAGAAATGAAAAACTAATTGTAATTTACATGTCAGTGCAGCAAAGTTTAGAGTGGTTAATAGAATACGTTACATTATTATGGGGAGATGAGATACATGAATTTGAAACCAAAAAGAAAAATGTAAACATTAAAACAGTGTGGGGTTAATGTGCTCTGTACTGGGGGCGCAGGGGTTGAGTCTCAGCACTATCAAGCTACCCGCAGCTACTGCACAAGGTCGATCCCCAGCCAGGGAGCTACCCACATGGTGCAGCAGACCGCTCCTGTCTCCCCGCTGCTCCTCTCAGCAAGCAGTGTGTTTCAGTAGATCCGCCTCTTCTGCTCCTCACTCTATCTCTGGTGAACCCTCTCACCCCCACCCTCCATCTCTGGCCTACACCCCAGCTCTTGTATGCATAAATAAAAACAAATCTTAAAAAGTATTTGTTCTGTACTTTTTAATATCAAATACCAAATAGCAATCCTAATGTTCTCAGATCCCTGGCTGGATCTCAAAGTGCTATGTCCTGCACGTATCTGCATATATCCTGCACATACAATGCTACATCCCAACTAACCACAACAGAGCCAGAAAAAACTTAGGCATTGTAATAATTTTAGTTTTAAATGCCAGTGTCTAATAAACTATAAAAATTGCACCCTGTGAATCTAAACCCATGTGGGAGGGTGTCTGCAGTTTTCAAGATCTGTTAGTGAGAAGCACCCAAGCTTGAAGATCACAAAGCTGAGATACAGCCTTTTCTCTTCAACCTCAACTTTCTCCTCCTGGTGTTTCCTGCAATTTTACTTAATTCTGACCCATTCTGAAATAAGTTTCAGAAGAGAGAGCTTCCCCTAATTCCCGGTGTTGTCATTCACTCAACACTCACTTCCCCAGGTGGAAGGCACTCGCCTGGGAGCTGTGGACAGGACAGCGAGTATAACTCCCACCCTCCAGGAACCTACTTCTAGTGACTTCTTTACAGTCTGAACTGAGTGTAGCTAGTCGTCGTTATTAGTTGACAATGATTTACTCCATTGTAAAGTCAATTTTAAAAGAAGAAATTTCATTCCAAAATGAAAAAAGCAAAATCAGATTCATGTTCTACTTCCAAAAATCCTTTCAGACAGAACTGAAGTGCTGATAGGGCAGAGATGCATGGGGACCAGAGGAAAAGGGAAAGGCAAGCTGTCTGAAGCCCAACATCCATCTTCTCGTAAGCAGGTCCTGCATATTTTATGTAAAGAGGATGCTACTGCCTAAGACATTGATTTGCTTGAGTTTCCCAGTGGCAAGGATACAAAGTCCTCAAATTCATCTGCTCACTCTGGGGTGAGCTGCCTTGGACCTGACCAGACCTTGGACGAAGCTATGGCCGGGGAAGCATGTAGGTACCTGGGGTTTAATGAGGAAGTGACTGGAGCAGGGTTCAGCGTGGGTCCCGGCCCAAGTCAACCCTCCAGTACAACACTCAGAGTGTGCTCAGAGTTCTCAGAAGCTCTGCTTCGTAGGAGGATGTCACTGACCATGGGGTATCAGCTCATGAAGGCCTATGTGTTTCGTGAAGGGCCTCCGAGCAACAATACCTATAGGTCTCTTCCTGGGGTAGGTCCTCTCCCTAGGGCAAGTCTCTTATCTCTCCCTTGGGACTCAACCTCTGGACACCATACCTGATAAGAAGGCAAGGAGCCTGACCTCGGCAGGCTGACTTTCATTTAATTCATGCCTTTAGCATGAAAGCGGGGAGAGACAGCGATGTGTTGGTGCAGGCTTGGGGAAGGGAGCCAGGGTCTGGTCTGATTGCTCCTTTTAAGAACGTCACCCAACCCCTCTGATATCAGCCTACCTCACAGCTATCTTCAGGGGCACCTAGGGCCTACAACCTTTTCCAGAATTCTCTGGCAACCTGTTTCTTGATAACTGCAGGCTTAAATTTCTGTTGTGAGTACAGTAGGCCAGTTATCATACTCCTCCCCCCAGGCTCGCTATCTCCTATCATCAGTCATCTCCCCTGTTCCCTCTGCTCTTACAGGTTTATACCTCTGACTCCTTTATTGTCATTTTAGTGGGGTCTTGGGATGGAGCAGAGATAAACGCATGAGTTCAACACACGTTTAATCATAAGCTCAAAAATTATTTCCCTATTCATTCAACAAATATTTAAGCGATGAACAGTGCACCACTGAGGACAAAGCAGTATAACAAAGCCTCAGTCCATCCTTCTGCAGCTCACAGTCTAGAAGGAATGTCAGACAATGCACAAGTAGTTCCATGGGTGCTGAGAGACAAAAAGGAGAAGTTCAAGATGGCACAAGGGGTTTAAGAAGCAGACCTGAGAGTGGCCAGGTGGGCGGAGAGGACACCAGAAGGTTTTCTGGAGCAAATGACTTTTGGTCTAACACCAGGGAATTTTCTAATGGAAAATGAAGCCTCTCCAAGCACAGTGGGGCAGCTTACCGGCGCTGGATCTGCCTTGCAAAATTGTTGCTTGAAGCCGAGCAGGGAAACTGAACTTCACTGTGCAGGGTAGCATTCCGGAAGAGGTCACAGAAGTTCTCAAAGAGCTCTAAAAGCTCGTCTGAAGTGTTTTCAAACACAGCGATCACCTCTGTTGTCACCATGTTGTACACCACAAAGAAAGAGGCCTAAGGAAGAACACACAGGTAAGGGACAGCTGAGCCCAATGCCACACCCAGCAAAATTATCACTTGGTTGAAAATTCAAGACCACCACGCGAACACCTCTTCTCCAGCACATGGGCAGAGCTGCTCCAGCTGTCCTGGCTACGGAGGGCCTCATGGCAGGACCCCAGTAGGGCTGGCCCCACACTGCAGCCAGGCCACCAGAACGCCTGGCTGGCCAGCCTGTGCGGATAAAGCATTTGCAATCTTCCATATCAAACTGTGAAAAATCAGTATATTTTCTTCCAAGTGTTTATTCCCTACTCACTCCCAAACCCACCCTGAAAGAAAAAACAATTTTTTCAAAATGCCAGATTTAATTTTCCTTCCTGCTGAGAAAGTGATTTGCAGCCTGGCACTGCCTGTTGGCAAATTATTTCCTCTTGTATATGTACAGTTGAAAGTTCAATGGAGGGGCATTATTTTTCCTTCTTAATATTTCTAACGTGCAGAGACGCCTTAAGTACATTGTGTCCCGAAGCTGCCCAGGCAGGCTAAAAGCAAGCAGGGCACTGCAGCCAAACAAATGAAAAACCACGGAGGCATTTTCCATTTCTCTCTTCATCACATTCTTCCAGCCAAGAGCATGTGTGAGACAGTCGTGATCTGCAGCAGTGAAGGTCAGGGGCACACAACAGGTAATCAAATGCCACGGCGGCGGAGCTGCTGCTCTGGCTAGATGGGCCCCAGGTGACAGACCCCTTCCTTTAAGCCTCCGGGGCTCCGCTGGGCCTGACAGGAAATCCCCAGGAAGCCCCAGTCTTTGTCACAGTGAATGCGGCCGTGTGAATCAATCTACAACTTCCAAAAGGATTCTAGAAGTCATCAGAACACTAGGATTAGTATGTCCTCTCCCATGATTGAGTTAAATCTCTTTCCCAGTGTCTGGAGCCCTCTGGCCCACCTGTTTCACCAGTAATTAGTCCTTCCCGGAGCTTCCACTGCATGACTTCTGCAATCATCTGAGACTAAACTTTGTTCTAAAATAAAGAGGCTGGAGGAAACCTGAGAACGAGACCCTGATGCCAGCAAGGCTGTTTGGATGCACTTTTTACTCACTAGCCTTACTGGAACCGATCAAATTAATTGGGGGGTGGAGAGAGAGGCAGAGGTGGGTTGATGTCCCAGAACTGCAGCGGAGCACATGGCCCCAGGAACGTCTCCAGCTGCCCCTCGCTGCAGCTCCGACACACGACAGGTCACACTCTAGCAAAGAAAACCAGGGTAACCGCGAATGCAGCAGTCACAGGCTGCTTATTCCCTCCAAATAATAGGTGATTATAGCTCAAACCTAAACGGAAGATGACGCATATCTCCTCCTACATACCCGGACGACATGGCGATCCTGCCAGGGTGTCACAGGGCACCCTCACAATTATGTGCCTACAGAATCACCCCAACACACACCAGTTAGGACAGGCGGGCGCAGAGTCAGGGACTTCACCATCTGTATCCCCAACACACAAGGTGAAATCTATATTCATCCAGGGTGGCACATGGGAGTGTTATCACAGACGGGTTAAAAATGAACCCACAAAAATGGCCTCAAGGGCTATTACTCCCTTTTACCCTTTATTTGGGATACATGAACTGGGATTCAGAGGAGTTAAGGCCTCGGGAGCTGACCCCGCCCCCCTCATTGGGAGGATCAGCGGCAGGTCAGCGAGATGTGCTGACTCGGGGACATCGTGATTTACTCCTGTCCTGACCCCCCAGTGTGGCCCGAAGGAGACAGCCTGAAACAGAGGCCTGGGGGAGGGGTTGCAAAGGCGGAGGGACCCTGGCCCTCACCTAAATCACCCCCAGCTTCAACACAGATCTCCCCCAGTCTCGGCAGTTCCTGTGCTCAGAATAGCGGTGTGCTCCGTGCTGGGGGACGCTTTCCCCCTCCCAACACCCTACAGTCCTGACACTTCAGGGCTTCTGACCGCCTATGAAGCCTCTCACTGTGCTCCAGCCTGGCTCCAGCAGGAGGGCAAGGTCGGGGTGAGCCAGAGATGCACCCAGAGAAGACCGCGGCGCGCAGACATACCCAGGCGGGGAGGGCGGGCTCCAGAGGGCGCTTCCGCGTGGCAGCCTCACTCTCACGGCCAGGCCAACAGGCAAGTCTTACAGTGATGCCCAGGAAGCCCCGCCTGGACCTCACGGCATTAGGGCTTCCACCCAAGGGTGCCAACCGTGCTCTGCGGAGCCAGGCAATGACCGCAGAGCCGACTGACCAGGGGCCAGCGCGAGTCGGCCTCGGTCTGCCCAGAGACAGATGCGGGCTGAGCAGGGTGGAGCAGGCTCAGGTGGCTGGGCCTGGGAGAGTGACACACATGCCCCCCAGTAAGGGGCATTTCTGAGAGACTGGCGGAGAGGGAACTTGCCGGGGAGGCGGCGGGCGAGGTACAGGGCAGCGGGCAGCCATTACCTGGGAAGGGTCGGTGACGCGCAGGGTGACCACGTCCTCGCTCGTGTACTTGATGAACAGGTGGTTTTCGTCCAGCAGCTGCATCTTCCACATGCGCAGCTGCCGCAGCTGGTCAAAATACTGAAAGAAGCGCCGCTTGGCCATGGCGCTGCCGTCCTGCTCGGCGCGGCGCCACAGGTACACGAGCAGCCGGTGTTTGAGGGAGTTGATGAAGGGGTCCCTGAAAGGGTTGGCCATGCCCGTCTGACTGTCACGCTGCACCTCGGGGAAGACGGCCGACACGGTGAGCAGGTCGTCCTCGTAGCAGAAGCGGCCGATGGTCCTCACGTCGATGAACGTGCCCTCGGGAGTCACCTGGAAGACGTGGATGGTCTGCTGCTGCACCGACAGGATGGCCAGGATGTTCTTGTACAGGTACAGCCCCTGGTTGTGCGACAGCACCACCTTGTCGCACTTGAAGGTGCGCGTGTCGCACAGGCGGCCGGTGTGGAGGTCAATGATGTGCAGGGAGTAGTCCTCCAGCGGGGAGCGCGGGTTGGGGGTCACCGACTCGCTGTTGCGATACACCTCGTAGAAGGGCGGGTGCGGCTCGTCGGGCAGGTAGGCGGCGGAGCCCACGATGACGCAGCGGCAGTCGTCAGTGAAAAGGCTACATTCCCGGTTCAGGTGCTCGCCGTGCGCCGCCACGCTGGTGATGTGCAACAGCACGAAGAAGCGCTCAAAGAGCCGGCCGCGGATGCCCACCGAGCGCTGGTCGCTGCCATTGGCCAGGATCTCCCCGTCACAGCCCTGCAGCAGGTCCTCGGCCGCCTGGCAGCCCTGGTACTCGTAGATCTCCAGAGATGTCTGGTCTGAAGAGAAAGCAATAAAGTAGCGCCCGTCGGGTGAGAACTTGCGCAGGAAACAAGGCGGCTTTTCCACGTTGACCACGGTGAAGTTGGGGAAGACGTTCTGGTGGAACACGCGGACCTGATGCCAGTGGGTGCCCGCCTTGCCCGAACTGATCCTCCGGCGTTCCAGGCGGTGAATGACATTTTGGTTCTGGATTCTTCGAGGTTTGATGGTGGAAACATGATGATCCATTGTCACATCGCTGCCTGGAAGGGGAGGCGACGTCAAGAGGGTGAAACACAACTCACCAAGACCCGGGAGAGCCCCACCGGGTCCATGCCTGGCTCGGAACCCTCGCGCTCCACCGGACCGCAACCAGCACGACTCCCTCCCAGATCAGTCAGGGAGGGGCAGCTGCTAACTCACCAAGAAAGCCCGAACGCACACTTAGCTGCCGGGACTACTTGACAGAATAAACAAACTACATCAAATTTGTTCAGCGTAAGAGTCACGTTCAATGCACATTCATAAAAAAATGTCGGCTGGGCTGTTCAGGTGCCTGTGCTGCCCAAAGCAGTCTCCAGAGGCTGCAATGTCGTCCCTGCAAAATACAGATGGAATTTTTTTTTTTTTTTGCAAAAATAGAAAACTCCATTCGAAAATGCACATGTAATCTCAGGAGACCTGAAGAGTCAAAACAATTTTGTAAAACGGTATCAAGATAACGCATACCTCCTGATTTCCACACATCTCACAAAGCTACAGTAACCAAAGCCTGACACTGGAGAAACACTGGACACACGGACTGATGGAACAGGGAGCCCAGAGTAAACAAGCACACAGACTTGAGATTCGGGAGGTTAGGAGAGCCTCAGACATGATAACACTAAGGAAATCCACACCCAGAAACATCACAAACTGCAAAAATCAAAAACACAAAGTAAACACCTTGAACGCTCTGTGGATTTCTCATGAGTAACTACCCAGGCCAAAAGTGAAGCATTTTTTAAATGCTGAAAGAGCTGCCCGTCTCAGCATCGAACCTCAGCTAACACGGCTCTTCCAGGTCTGGCCCTGACTCCCGTGCCCAGAGCACAGCCCTTTGCCAGCCACGTCCATCTACCCTGCTTTATTTTCTTCTGTCCTTTACCGCTTTGTGAAATTATCTTATTGAGCTGTTCGGTACCTCCCTCCCCACACCAGACACCAGCCCCCCATGCGCTTCCTTGTGGATCCCTACACCCGGGCTGTGCCCAGCAGAGCAACTTTTGACATGGGTGGGTCTTGAAAGAGAAAGAATTCACGAGGCAAAGCGAAAGAGAAACAGCAGAGAGAAGGCGGCCTGAAAGCCCTACTGGACGGGCACTTTTGGGGAACAGGAAAGTTCCAAGCGGTTGGGCACAGAAAGCACAGTGAGAGGAGAGAAGCAGGGCGGGGTCCACTCGGGAAGCTACTCCAAGCCACGCCACGTGAGCTGCGGCAGCGATGGACCGTTCTGCCCCTTAGCAACCAAGTCACAAAACGGGGCGTTTATAGCCTGTCTCCTTCCAAGAGACCTGAAGCGCCTGTGGAAGCACGCGTGCTTCTAGCCACGTTGAAGATGAACACTCGTCTATGAGGGAGCGCATCAAGTCTCTCAAAATGCTAGTCCCAGCTCATTAATAGAGCCTTGAAGTCAATTTAGTGGATTAACTGACATTTAAAAAATGGAATAAAATAGAAAACAAACTGAATCACACATTAAAAGGGTAAGCACTGTCTTGTGAAACTTCTGTTTCAATTATATTCTGAGCTACAAGCTCTGAATACAAACTGTATTTCCTCCTGTCCTGGCCTACAGATCAGGCTAAAGACTGCAAACAACTGCCCTCGGGCGGGATCTGGCCTGCAGCCCATGTGCCATGTAAGTTTTACTGGAACAGTTGCGTTCATTTACCTTTAGCCCGTGGCTGCTCCTGCCCTGCAGAGGCCCAGTTGTCGGCTGAGGCAAAGACCACTTGGCCCACAAACCTAAAATATTTACTATCTGGTCCTTAGCAGAAAGCCTGCCAACCCCCGATCCTGAGTGCCGGTTCCCAATCGAGGCAGTTCTATGATACACAGAGACATTTTTGATTGTCTTAACTTGGGAGGAGGGGTGCTATGTAAGGAAGGGGGACATCCAGCAAATACAAGCCAGAGGTTGCTGCCAGACACCCTACAGTGGACGAGACAGCCCCTCGCATCTGGCTCCAAATGTCCACAGCGCCGAGGTCGAGAAGCACCATCTATAGAACTGCGGGGCCAGCGCTGCAGGCGGAAACTGGCGAGAAGGCCTGCACAGGGCTGCCAGCACCCTCAGCTGCTGGCAGCTACACTTCTCGGGCATATTCGTGCAGGCGGCCCCAAGAAGCACTGAACCCTGCGCAGCCGTTACCCACAGCAGCCCAGGGGCCCTCGGACACGAGGCTGAGTGGAGAGCCCTTGCAGAGCATGCGCATGGTTCCCTTTACATAAGTTGCAAACAATTCCTGTTTCAAGACCAGGAATCTATATGGTCTACAAGTACAAAAAGCAGAGGAATTACAACCAGAAGATGTAGAGTAGTGCCTCTGCCGAGGACAGGTACCGGGGATGCAGTGGCAATCCTGAGTGCATTTCTTCTTACGCTATACTTTATTCTTTAATGTTAATATATATTTGATATTTAACACACGTTTTTAAAGTACCATTTGCACTTACTCAGAACTTTCTTAGCAATCAGAAAATACTCCTGATGACGGGAAAACAAGGACATCGTAAGTCAAGGCCAGAGACACACAGAAAGCCCCGGAGGCCGGCGGACTGCCCCACGCCGCGCGGGCTGTGTCCACAGAGTGGCAAAGAGGGAAACCAGAACCCGCGCTCCAGGGAGAGAGAAACTCAACAGCTCTGCCCAGCACTGGGGTTTAAAAGAAATCTCAAGAGTTTTCTCAAAGGGTCTCGGCACGACAGCGAGCCCCGGCCTGGACATGGGAACATACAGTACTGAGCTTCCCGCAGCTGTTCCTTGCGACGGTGACGCGACTGATGCGGCTGGTGTGACACAGCCGAAAACAAAACAAAAACAAAACCACAAACACTATTAAGGCTCAACACTGAAAAATACCAAGCAACAGTGTCTCCCCGGGGCCCCTCTGCCACCCGCACCCTCCAGACCTCCGAAGCGGGCTGGCATCGGAGAGCGAGGCGGGCCTGGGGGAGAGGCAGCCACACTCAGGAGTGGGAGCAGGAGCGGGCATGACTCGTCCAGCAGGCCACGCCCACAGAACTGCATGTGATAAAGCACATTGCCCGAGCTGGGCTTGGGAAGGGCCACTGCTCACTTTAAGCGCAGGAGATGCCTCCTGCAAGGAAAATGCATGTGCATTTTGAATAGTTCCATCTGAAGTTATGTGTTTTTAAGGAAATGACATGCGTGAAGGGGTGAAGGAAGTGGGCAGTGGGGTGGGCAAAGAGGAAAGTCTGCTAGCATCAGCTCCGCATTGGACAGGAAATCTCAGTGAATTTTTTAACATTTCTCTGCGTGTTCTGTGTGGGGGTGTGTATGTGGGGGTGTGTGTGTGTATATATAATTTTACATCGTCCAATTATGTTGGTTGGGACATAGTGAAATTCTAAGTCTTTTCCCACTGGTCCTATCGGTATAATTATAAATTATATGCACACTCATAAAAATGCAAACTATAGAAAAGTACATAATGAAAGTCCCTTCTAATTAGGGTGGGAGTTAGAAAGAAACAGAGTAACACGCTATTTTTACTCAAAGCTGCCCTCCACCAGCTTCCCTAGTTCAGGGGATGATATGGTCCCACATCTGCTACAGTGAATCAGAAACTGGAGTCTTCCTTGGTACCTCTCACACTCTGCCCCCTGACCCTGGTCAGTCCCCAGACTCCGAAGGGTCTACCTTCTAAACAGTCCTCTAACCCTCCACTCTTTCTACCACAACCTGCCAGCACCCCCATCTAGTATCTCACAATTTCATGTCTCTATTACTGCAACAGCTTCTTACCTGATCTCCCTGAATCCACTCCTGTCCACCTCCAATCCATTCAACAGCCAGTGATCATTTCAAAATTCTTTGGTGATCATGTCCTTTCCCTGATGGCTCAAAACATGGATCTTCCTGTTGCTCATAATGATGATCGTGATCAAAATCCCTCACATTTAATGAGGGGCTCAAAAATCACAGCACTGCCTCTCCAGCCCAGAGTGGTCTAGACGGCTGACCTGGGCCATTACCCCTTTGGGTGGCACTGATTATTTCCAACAGGTAGCCTAGCTCATAGCCTCAGCTGCTTGGCACTTGCTGTTAACCTCTAAAATGCACTCCTCGGGGCCTCCCTGGTGGTGCAAGGGGTTAAGCACTGCACTATGAAGCAATCTGCAGCCTCTGCAGCAACAGTTGGATTCCCTGTCAGTCAGGGAGCTACCCACATGGCGAGGCAGACCTCTCCTGTCTCGCCTGCTGCTCCCCTCAGCAGTGGATTTCAGTCTGTCTTCCTGTTCTGTTCCCCACTCTGTCTCTGCTGAATCCTCTCACTCCCCAGCAACTCTGGCCTGTACCCCAGCTCTTGTATGCAAAAATAAACAAACCTTTAAAATATATATAAAAAAAAAATAAAACGCGCTCCTCACTCTGCTGAGCTGACTCCTATTTCAGACAGAGGGGCAGTCTAAGCACCACTTCCTTCACATCCCCAGTAGTTAACATACCAATATAACAGTCACACTTCTGGCAGAGCTCATCCCACTTGCAACTCTGTCTCTGGTTCGATCTCTGCCTAAGGACTAGATGGTGAGCTCCGGAGGACCAGCACACAAGCATCCACGTCAAACCCCTTTCCTGAACGTCCCACCCGCCTTGTGCCAAGTTCTGAGCCAACTCAGGTGCCCAGGGGGCTGCTCGTCCCCTCAGCCCCGCCCCCCCCCAACCTGGAATCTATCTCCCAGGCCCTGGCTGTGACTTCCCAAGTTGCAGCTTAAGTCTTTTCTTTCAGGACGTCTTCCCTGCCCACCCTATCTAAAACAGGGCTTCGGTTATTGTCTTCTTCATGGCATCTGTCACGATTTGGAGCTGTACTTTTTCCTTGGGGGGGTTTTGTGTGGGTGTGCGACTCCTCCACTACACCTGGCTCCAGACGGGAGGTGAGCCGGCGGGCTCTGGGCTCGCGTCCTCGCGGAGCCTGCCCGGGGGCTGGCCGGAGCCCGGTCCCCGCGTTATTCCGGGACCAAAGGAGCGAGCGCGGCTGATGGATCACTGGCTGCCCAGGGCGGCCCGAGGCCAGGCCTCCTCCCCTGATGGGTCTGCGTCCCCAAGGGGGCGGCTGCACCGCTCCCCAGCTCCCGCGCCAGCTTCCCAAACGAGAAGGGGATTCCGAGGGGCGGGCACACACGCCCAAGGGGGCGCCCCCGGAAAGAAAAGCCCGGGGCGGGGCCTCCGAGGGACGAGGCTTCCGCGGCCGGCCGGGCGGGGGCCGCGAGCCTCGGCGTCGCGCGGGGAGGGGTGGCCACCCGAGGCGGCCTCGCGACGGGCGTGGAGGCTGGGCCAAGGAAGGAGAAGTCCTCACCTGTCCGATCGGGGCTCAAACGGCCGGGGCGACGGGCCCCCCGGCCGGCTCGGCGCGCACCGCCCCCGGCCCCGCCCCCGCCATGCCTGCGGACCCGGCGTCCCGGGCTGCGGCGCTCGCTTCCGCCGGCCACCGGAAGTGCGGCGCAGCGAGGCGCGCGGCGGGAGAGCGCGACGCCGCCGCCGGCGCCCAGAGAGCACGTCACAGCGCGCCCTGGTGGCCGGAGGGGGCGCGAAGGGGAAAATGAACCTGAGCCCCAACTTGGGGTCTCTGTGACCTCTCGCATGGCAGTCTCTGGGCTTGCTGGACACCTTTGAGAAAACATAAATAAAAATTCATCTTTCTGGGCCTCCCTGGTGGCTCAAGGGGTTAAGATGCAACCTATGAAGAGCCACAGCCACTGCAACACGAGTTCGAGCCCCAGCCAGGGAGCTACCCACATGGCGCATCAGACCTGACTCGCCCGCTGCCCCCCTCAGCAGTGTATTTCAGTCAGTCTGCCTGTTCTGCTCCCCGCTCTGTCTCTGGTGAATCCTCTCACCCCCATACACACACCTCTGGCCTGTACCCCTGAGGTTTATTCACACAGAGGAATACTACTCAGCGATGAAAGATAAAGACATGTTGGATGATCTCAGCTCAGTGTGTAATGGAAGGAAGCAAAGCAGATGAACTGATAGAATAATCATGAAGGAGTGGGCACTGATGACTGTACTGCAGTTTCTGAGGTTAAAAAGGAGGGAAGGGGGCCTCCATGGTGGCACAAGGGGTTAAGATGCAACCTATGAAGGTATCCAAAGCCACTGCAGCACGAGTCCGAGCCCTGGCTAGGGAGCTACCCGCATGGCACAGCAGACCTCTCCTGCCTCCCTGCTGCTCCCCTCAGCAGTGTATTTCAGTAGATCTGCCTGTTCTACTGCCCACTCTGTCTCTGGTTAATCCTCTCACCCCCCACACCTCTGGCCTGTACACCAGTTCTTTTTTTTTTTTTAAGATTTATTTTTATTTATTTATACAAGCACTGGGTATAGTCAGAAGCGCGGGAGGGTGAGAGAATTCACCAGAGCCAGAGCGGGGAGCAGAACAGGCAGAAGGACCGAAGTACACTGCTGAGGGGAGCAGCGGGCGGTAGGAGAGGTCTGTGTGCCATGTGGGACCCTCCTCCGGTGGCCGGGGAGCAGCCGGGGATCGAACCGGCGCTGCAGAGGCCGCGGGCAGCTTCGCAACCCAGCGCTCAACCGCTGCGCTACCAGGGAGGCCCTGTACCCCAGTTCTTTATGCTCATCACTGTCTGCTATTATCTAGCTGGTTGGTTTTCTTTGTTCTATGTTGTTAGCTATAATTTTTTTAAAGGAAAATAGCAAAAATGGTGAGGATATGGAGAAAATGAAATTCTACATTGTTGGTGGGACAAGCACAGCCGCTGTGGAAACAGCTTAGCAGTTCCTTAAAAACTTACACAGAGGGCCTCCTCTGTGGTGCAGCGGTTGAGCGCTGGGTTGCGAAGCTGCCCGCCGCCTCTGCGACACAGGTTTGATCCCCGGCTGCTCCCCGGCCTCCGGAGGAGGGTCCCACATGGCACACAGACCTCTCCTACCGCCCGCTGCTCCTCTCAGCAGTGTACTTAGGTCCTTCTGCCTGCTCTGCTCCCCGCTCTGGCTCTGGTGAATTCTCTCACCCTCCCGCACTTCTGACTGTAGCCAGTGCATGTATAAACAAACCAACAAACCAACAAATAAATAAATAAATAAATAAATAACATGCCTCTATAAAAAATAAATAAATAAATAAAATATCGTGTCAGGAAAACAATGGAATTTAAAAAAAAAAAAAACTTACACAGAATTACCACATCACTTAGAAATGCCGCTTTAGATGTTTAATCAAGAAAACTAAAAACATACCCACATAAAAACTTCTACACAGAAGCTCATAGCAGTATTATTTATAATAGCTACAAAGTGTGAACACCCTAAATGTCCATAACTGATGAGTGCATTAACAAAAGGGGAGGTACTCATGATTAGTCTGTTGTAAAAAAGAATGAAGTCTTGATACATGCTACGATGTGGGTGAAGCTAGAACTGATTATGCTAGTGAAAGAAGTTGACATAAGGGCTATAAAACACATTAAAGGTATGACTCCTTTTATAGAAAATAACCAGAATGAGTAGTCGTCTATATACATCTTTGTGCACTAGTACAAACTTATGACACATCCTTAACAGTAAAATCTCCAACCAAAAGTTAGTCATTCAAAAAGCTTTAATAGCAACATGTTTATTATTTTAATGGCGAATGCTAATGACAAAAAGATTGTAGCAATTTGTATCCCCCATTCATTCTCATATCTTTACCCACACTAGATATCATCAGTCTTTCTTAATTTTGCTTTGCTTATTTTCTTACTCCTTATCTTTTGCATTAACACAAGATGATATTTCTTTGTTTTAATTTGGATTATTCTGATTACTAATGGGGTTGACTATTTCTTTTCAGATATTAATTGACCATTTACATTTTCTTCGGATAAGCATCTTTGTATATTTTTTGCCCATTTTTCTACTGAGACATTTTTTCCTATCGATTTACAGGAGCTATTTATTACATTCTGGACATCAGCCCTTTGTTAGGACTGCAAACATTTTCTCCCTCTGTGAGGGTTGGCTTCAATTTCTGACTTTATAGTGTTGCCTTTACAACGTTCTGACTCCCATTACTGCTCTGGCAATTTGTCAATTTAATGCAGAGCCCAGGTGCCGAAGCCGCCTGCTGTGCTCCTGGACAATCCTTGGTGGTAAAGGAGGCCACATGGGCTTCCTCCCACCTATCCCAGGAAGTGGGTTTCATTTCATTCTTCCAGCTGTAACAGCTGTCAGAGCATGAAGGGTTAGGGTGGCAACCAGAGGCAAGACCCCGGTCGCCTCGTGAATGTTTGTGCAGACTTTACATCAACCCCGAGTGAGAGAAGGGAAGAGGCACGAGAGAGCTTTGAGCAGAGCAGTAGCAAGAGCAAACTTAGGTTTTAGAACATCCGATCCGGGTGTGCCACAGGGAGAGGGGACTAGGAAGACCAACCCACAGGCTACTGCAATAGTCCAGGCAGAAGAGGGTGGGGGCATGAGAGGGGGACACAGTGGTGGGAAGTGGTGAGACTTGGGGTGAGGCAACAGGACCTGTCAGTGGATTGGATTAGCAGGGGCAGGGGACAAGTTTGTCTCAGGGCATTTGACCCACGTAACTATGAAAGCTTTTGCTCCATAAGTAATAGAATATCTGGACTGGGCTACATTTGAAGTCAGCTCTGTGGGGACAGGGACATCCTCTCTCACCTGTGCTGAGCCCCAGACTAACACAGTGCCAGGCACCCCTGTGCTCAACAGAGACATGTTGTACTCTGAGGAACAGCCCTTGGCACCGCAGGCCAGGGCCTGGCTCAGGGGACAGTCCTCAAGTGCTCCAGATGACGCATTTGATTTCCTCAGCTCTCCAGCCCAGATGTTGCAAGTCCTGTTTCCCTGCCCGCCTCCCATCGTCCTCTCGCCCCCGGAAGAACAGTAAGTCCTGATCCCCAGTGTACCCCGTGTTCCCTCTCAGGCTCCCCAAGTGAGGGAGATGATGGAGTGCTGGGGAGGGGACCTGGGTCTGAGCTCCCTGTCCCTCCCCCTCCAGTCCTTCTGCGGTTTCTGCCAAGGCTTTTAGCAAGTGTGCTGGCTCTCAGCATCTGCCAGAGAGGAGGCGAAGGGAACAAGGCAGGACAAGAGGCTCTTGTTCTTTCTCCCTTTCTCGAAGAGGCTAGCAGAGCTCTTTCACCTCTGCGCTCAGCAGCAGACGTTTCTGGCCCTGAGTGCCCCTCCACCACGTCACCGTCGCGGCATAAATCAGGAGCATAGCCATGGCCGCTCGCCACACTCGCCCCCATCCACCTGTGTGACCTGATGTACCCTCTATGCCTCTGGGGGTTAGGGGGCTTTATTCCCACTTTACAAATGCAGAAACTGAGGCCTACTTTCCCTCAACCCTCCTTTGGATCCCCTCCCTATTCCTACGTGACCAGAGCCTGTCTTCACACTAAGTCCTCTACTGCTTTTTACAAGAAAGCTTGCTTTCTCCTTGCAGTCCTCAGCCTTGATTTCAAATCCAGATGCTATCAACTGTTTGAAGCCACACAGCCCTCCACGCCCTTGGCCAAATGCTCACTCCCAGGCCGTCAGGGGTTCTTCTTTATTGGGGATGACCCAGCAGCCTCTGTCATCTCAGCCTCTCCCACTGCCCCCGGCACCCTTGACAGAGCTCAGGTGGCATGAGGGAGTTTTTCTTGCTTGGCTCCAGAAGGAAAAAAATAACCTCCAGAGTTCTTTCGAGAAGAGTAGGCTGCAGGTACTTGGGGCTTTTACCATTTTGTCCATTTCTTGACCACCACCCCCCGCCCCCCACCATCACACACACACAGCTTTGGCTTGGCTTGAAAGCTTTGGGGCAGCCTTGTTCCTGCTCACACAGCAGAGGAGAAAACTCAGCATCTAAATGAAACTGACCTGAGGTAAACAGGCCTCGCTGGGCCTGAGCTGGGATGCCCGGATGTATGAATCAGGCTG